CTGTATTTTTTAGGTTTTATAAGGAACGTCTTCCTAAAGTTTATCGACAGAATCCAGAAGCACTCTTCCGAAAAATTAATTTTGCCATGAAACTATAAGAGTTAGGAAAAAAGTGAATGTACACTTTTTGTCAATATAAACTGTTCTATCTAAAAACAGTATCATTTTTTATTTTCAGTAGGGCTGTATTAATTTTTTTTATAATTTAATTAGTCTGAGTCCCATAACTCCGCCACTGGTTGATTGCGGAACTTCTACTTCTATGGAAAAATGGTATCTTATAAGAAAATGTGTCATGCCAAATTTGGCTTAAATAGCCTTCTTCATTTAGAAGTTATTTAAAAAAATTCGAATTTTTTTTAATTTTTAACTCCCTATATTTCGAAAATGAAGCGTCTCTGGAAAAAATTTATACTTAATTTTTTTCTTATTTTTTTATGAGGAATATCTCCTTAAAGTTTGTCGACTTCCTGAAACACCCTGTATAGTTAAAGCAAAGAAAGATTTCAAAAAATACTGCAAGAATATATTGTTCTAACTAATTAGTGGCGTAACATTCATTTGTGTTTGTTTTTATCATTGCATTTGTCCTTTTTACACGGGTCTTTCTTTTTCTCCTTCTTGTCACATTTATCTTTTTTGTTGCTATTATGATCCTTCTTGCAACTGGCACTGATACTCATTATTTTTCCTTCTTCGTACGAAAACGCCAGAGGATTCAGTGATCTGTCTGTTGCGGCTACTTTGCAGAACTCGCCGTTTTCAGAGACCCAGATGCTGTCAATGGTTCCGTTTCTCAGCGCATCCAACGGGCTTATTTTAGATCTAGAATAACAGAGATTGACTTGGATTATACACATTTGCCGAAAGAAAGCTGGTTATAAATTACGACTACAAAATTAGTTTAATAAAAATTGTAGTGTTTATACTTTTTACTAATAGCAAAAGAATGCTAGTCTGTGTTCGGCGATGTTAGGTTAGTTGTTGTGTCATCAGGTCAGGATTTTTTCTAACCAAAGCATAGGTTGAATTAGCAACAAATGATGCTTATTTCTGTTAAAAAGCTATGTAGCTAACTTCACGAGAAACAACTGTGCCTGTAGTAAGAAAATTGATGCTCAAGTATTTTAAACATGTAGGTTAGAATGTCGACATAACTTTGAAAACTTTCGTAAAAACATTCGATACGTTCAAATTGTACGGAAATCTCTAGTAGCTACATAAAGAGCTAATACCAATTTGACACCAGAATTGATCCATCGAATAATGGCCGCTTTCTAACCTTAAAAAAATCAGGTTAATCGAATTTGTGTATATCTTATGCACTGTCTTCCGGTTACTTGGATTAGACTGTTTGAAGTTTAGGTTTATAGGACTTAAACTTCTTTTCGCTGGTCTGTCGGAGGTTTTGGGCACGTGGGATTTTGCTGGTCTCCGTTTAGAATGGGATCATGTAATTTTTTGAGGTTAAGTTAAAATTATTATGCATAGGTACTCTAAAAGAATTGAATGATTAAGCATTAAAACACTTAGCTTTTTTATTTTTCTAGTTGTTTTCCACCATTTTACTCAGTCATTAAGCACTCAGAAAAATACAGGGTAGCCCATCGAAAACGTACCGCAAGGCATTACAGGGTAGTAATGAACTTTTCGGCAAAATCCAAAAACAGGTGAAGTTTGCTTCTGAGGGGGACAACTTTTGGCGCAAAAGCATAGCAAAATCTTCAACCCCCTAAGTGGGGGTGCCATCCCCCAATTTTTTTTAAATGGGACTGGGGGTCAAGTGGGGGGTCATTAGAAAGGGCTTTTAATTCTCTATACATCGATTCTTACTTTTTGAAAATCGATCCATTATTTTAGAAAATATGCAGCTTTGAAAATACGAACAATATTTTTGACGAGAAATGCGAAAATCGATTTAATTTTACTTCAAAACTTACGGTATTAGTCAAGTAAATGCTGAAAATGTTGTCCGCCAACTTGCATACAATGATACAGGTTGTCTTCAAACCGTTGTCGAACATTCTGGAGCACTTGCGGTGTTACTTCGCGACATACATTAATGATTCGTCCTCGCAGATCTTCCAAGGTATCAGGTGGAGTGCTGTAAACTTTGCTTTTAATG